CAGTAATACAGGGCGCAGGGGGGAGAGGGGTTACTGAGTAACAGTGTGAGGGAGCTGGATTAACACTAGAGATGCAGTCAGTAACACAGGATGCTGGGGGAGAGGAGTTACTGAGTGACAGTGTGAGGGAGCTGGATTAGCATCAGCAGAGATACAGTCAGTAACACAGGGTGTTGGGGGAGAGAGGTTACTGAGTGACTGTGAGGGAGTAATGCAGTGCGCCGGTGGAGAGAAGGGTTAATGAGTGACAGTGTGAGGGAGCTGGATTGATGTTGGATTGTGGTTATTGAAACTGTATCTCAATTGTTAAACTCTCAAACTGAAACAGCAAGCACCTAGATCTGGAATCCTCTTGTAAATGCTCTTGCTGCAGTAAAAATAAAGGTCTTGCATCTCTAGCACATTTTGCAATTTGCTTTGCAGCTAGAAAAGTACTTATTGAAGTGTAGTCCATATTGTGATATAGGAAACAGAGCAGCCAATTTGCACACAGCAAGATCCCAAAAGCAGCCATGTTGATGAATAACAAGATGATCTGTTTTAGCTGCTCAGTAAGGGAGAGACGTTAACTGGGGTCGCCAGGGATATGTTTCCTAGTGTTCACAATACTACCGTGGGATTATTTCCGTCAGCTGAGAATGAAATGGGTGTGGGTTTATCCAAAGGGGAGTTTCACTGGGTTGCTTTGAAGTCCGTCACTTCATTAGATTGTCATCTCCCTGCAATGTGCCTCCTTCACTCGTATTTTCCATTCATGGTGCAGGTCCTTCTCAATGACAAAGTCTAGCACTGGGGAACTCTTATCCTTCCATCAATGACCGCCAATCAGAAGGCAATTGAGGAACCTTTTTGTCCAGAGGGTAGTGCTGGTTTGGGACTCACTCTCCGAAAGGGAGATATCGACAGAAAATCTTGTCCCATTTTAAAAGGTGCTGACATGTACACCTTGTAATCTACAGGGCTATGGACCAAATGCTGGGAAGTGGGGTGGCTGTCTTTCTGACCAGCGTAGATGGGGGGTGTGCTGAATGGCCATCGCTGCTGTGAACTGTTGATATCTGAGGCGGTGCCTATTCATGTAAGGGCCCCCACTGCATGTGACAGCAAACTGTTCCATTCTGAGAGACACTACCAGTAGTGTTCAGGGATCAATACAGGGCTAACTGGGAGGGATCAGCAACAGAAACTCTTGCTAACTTTGTCACCTTGCTACTGCAGTCAGGTAATGATTTATATTTTCGATGCATTCACAAGGTTAGGCATTTCAGGCTTGGCTGCAATGCGCTGATAATCCCTGACTGCCCTGTGGGTGGGTCTGAGCCACCATGCTAGTGTACATGTAACAGAATGATTTTTGCAACCATTTCAGAGAAGATTGTGGATTTTGGCGAGAATGTTTAAGAATGATCACTTTCTTTCCACAGAGGATGTAAGCAAACCGGACTGATTTTAACACAAACTTGTCATTTCATGGTCACTGAAGTCAGCTTTGTTCCTCCGAGTTGCAGATTTATTTTATGGAATTTGAATTCCCTGGACTCTGTGTCTAGTCGTGAGTCCACTCACATGATCATATCCCATCGTGATCTGAAGGAATTCTGGAAAAATGCCATCTTTAAGGATGTGTGCTGTATGCAGTGTGCTATAATCAGCTGCTTTTTCCACAAAGGACACAGACTGCAGCTGCACAGATTCTTATTGCAAAGACTTGCTGGGAATGACCTGTAGGTTTGCAAATGCAAATTGGCTGTTAAGATGGTAATTAAACAGTTACCACTGACAGTGTGCTCGCACTGACTCCCCAACGCAGCTGTCCACTGCTTTCAGCTTCAAATCCAGACAAATCTCAGGCCTGAATAGAGATGGGTGCATCTCAATGGTCACTTGGAGACGCTGACCCTCAGACTGTTGCTATAGAGTGTGTGATGGCGGTAGTGGACACGGGGCTGTGAGAGGGGGATTTAATCGGTGTAGAGTGTGTGATTGGGAGGGGAGTGGACATGGGGCTGTGGGAGGGGGAGTAAATGGGTGTAGAGTGTGTGATGGGGGGAGTGGACATGGGGCTGTGGGAGGGGAAGTAAATGGGTGTAGAGTGTGTGATGGGGGGGAGTGGACGTGGGGCTGTGGGAGGGGGAGTAAATGGGTGTAGAGTGTGTGATGGTGGGGAGTGGACGTGGGGCTGTGGGAGGGGGAGTAAATGGGTGTAGAGTGTGTGATGGGGGGGAGTGGACGTGGGGCTGTGGGAGGGGGAGTAAATGGGTGTAGGGTGTGATGGGGGGAGCAGGGGAGTGAGCATGTGGCTAGGGAGGGGGTTAAATGGCTGTTGGGGACTTGGGAAGTTATGTATGTAGTGAATTTCCATAATGGCAGAGAGCCAATACTATCTATGGAGAAAGAAATTCTTGCTGTTTTCTACCTTAGAGACCGTGGCTCTATCTGATGTTAGCCCTGGTGTGACAGTGCAGGATTGGGTGTGTCTGCCTGTATCACAGAGCTCTTGTCTCCGGACTGGGACTCTGACTGGATCAACTGAGCGCGGTGTATTTCTGGGGGTTTGAGGCTGTAGCATTTTCTGCCCCTTTGAAGTAAGTAGTGATGGTTTGAAAGCTGCGCTGGGCTGGTCCCTGTTGTGGGACTGGTGGCCTCTGTTTGGTGGCTGGAGAGTGAAGATATCTGACAGGACATGTCCTGCTTTACCCACTCACGCAGGTACATGTCTATCACGGCCTTGTCTTTGCCTGTGCGCCGCTTCTTGGGAAGTTTGAGGACGTCGACTGCCATGAATTCGTCAGGAATCCTTATTCGCTGGTCGACCCAATGGGGGAACAGTTCCTGCTTGATGGTGTTGAGGGGCAGGCTGGGTAATGGCCAGGTCTTATCCCCAACTTTGGTCTTCAGCACGAGCTGGCCCAGCTGGTTGCGCACTAACTCGTACAAGATCCCAAAATCGTGCTGCTGCAGCATTAAGTTCAGGTTGATTTGCTGATCACCTCCTATCTGTCTGGAGGTATCAGCCGTAGGAGGGGAAGAGGGATTGGTGCTGGGGTTCCAAATTGGCTTTGGCCAGCAGACACCCTGACGGAGAGTGGAGCAGGTCCCGGTTTTCGGCTCCGGGAATGGGTGGGCCCTTCCCTTCTTCGTATCTTTGCTCCCATCTGACTTTTCCCTCTGTGTTTTCCCCTTGGGTCGGCAAGGCCCTGTCTGTTTGGTGAAGGGCACCAGTTTGTAACTAGCCCAATCGCCACTCCTCCCGTCGATCTTCACCGACTCCCTCAGCTGACTGGTCACGTGATCGGCTGTCGTTGCCCGTGGCTTGACAAAGCTGCTCGATAGCCTCAGAAGGTGGGAAAGTTGCTTCTTGTCTAACCACAGTCTGTAGGATTTGTTGGCAATGGATTCCATCTCTGTCTGCAGCAACACAAGCCATCAGCACACTTTAATACGCTGTAAACCTTCATCAATGCAAACATTACCTAATGACACACCCAGTGTTCGCTGACTAAGACAAACTTTGGTGCAATTGGGAAGATGGTGCAGAGGAACTGCCACATTTTTTGCCTCAGTCACAGGCAAGCCTTTCATTTATCGATGGTCCAGTGTTTTACTCCGTGGACTAAACATCAGGTTTATGATGCAGTGTGGCGCTGCCAGGGGTCAGTTTCGCACTGGCCGAGGTTACCATGAAGATCCTGCCTTCTCAGCCTTGCCCCTCACCCGAAGTTAATCTCACTAATTTCTCTAAAGAGAGACAGAGCACCCCAAAGAGACAATGTCAGAAATCACACGACACCAGAATATAGTCCAACCAGTTTAGTTGAAATTGCAGGCTTTCGGAGTCTCTCTCCATTCTTCAGGTGTTAGTGAGACAGGTAGTATCAGACTCAGGATTTATAAGTAAAAGATCAAAGGGTCACACCACTGATGCAAATGTGTTGAACAAACCTAAGATAGCTCCCAATGGGGGATCACATCAGTGATCAAGGACATTCAGCCTCAGATCTTCGGGTAAACGCCCTCCAACGCGGCCTTCGGGATATACAACAACGCAGAGTCACCGAGCAGAGGCTGATAGCCAGGTCTGGTTCCCATGAGGACGGCCTTAACCGGGATCTTGGGTTCATGTTGTGCTATAGGTGACCCCACCACACTATACATTCTCTCTCTCACACACACACTCTCACACACACACGCTCACACACACACACACACACACACACTCGCTCACATACACACATACACACACTCGCCCACATACACACACTCGCTCACACACACACACACTCGCTCACATACACACACACACACACTCGCTCACATACACACACTCGCTCACATACACACACTCGCTCACATACACACACACACTCGCTCACATACACACAC